AGACCGGTTCCCGCTCACTGGCTGAGCGTGGTGCGGGCGCAACACCGAGGGTTGCGATCCCGTTGCCGGTCCCCGGTACGGGCGTGACACCGAGGGTTGCGATCCCGTTACCGGTCAGTAAAAAAGACAAAAAGGAAAAAAAAAAAATCAGGAATCTATTGCAAAAATCCAAGTAATAAAATGAAAGATTATGTGAGTTATTTAATCTCTTTTTGTGTCTATTTTCTTACCTATAAAATAAGGATACTACCCAAATCACAGGGTTATTGTGAAGACAAATGGAATAATATACATGAAAATGCTTTTTAGCTATAAAGTACAATACAAATATTAAAATGTTATTATTGCAATTATATGTATGTAATTCATTCTTGTTCCTTCCTTCTAATATGGTGTTCTCACACCTAACCTGCTCTCCAATAAAAAGTTCTCTTTAGGTAGATAAGTATCAGAACTTTCCTGGGCTATATGTGTTCTCTCATTCAGGAGAGCTATATATTTAGCCCAAATCTAATGAGAGCTCAGACCCTCTACCCTCAAAGTTCAGCAGTTATAGCTCCTGGGCCCTCATTCCCTGTACCGCACTTGGGGATACAGAAAGTGACTGAACCTTTTTTAAAAATGCATTTACCACCTCCTCACCCAACAGACTTCCCAGAGTTTCATTTCCAACCATATACCTCATCCATTGACATATCCCATACTCTGCAAATTTCATTCTCCATTTCTTCATTAAGCTCCATCTGCTGCTCCTCATCACCTGAGCTGGATTTGGTGTTTCCAGGGCTAACAATCTTCGGAAACACAAAGGAAGAAAAGATATGAATGAAAGTTGTCCAGAGTACTCCTCAAGTAATAGTATCCCATAATCCTTTAGAAGTCACAAAGTGACTATAGCCTCAAAGCATCTTGTTTAACAAATTAACGCCTTGCGTAGAATTACCCATTAATATTCATGGGGTAAATACCGTTGGTAGACACTGGAGTAGAAATACAAGGATGAATAGAACATAATCCCTTGCTTTCAAGCAGTTTAGGATTTAGTGGGGGGTAACTAAGTCACAACAGAAAAGGCTAAATAATTCAACTGAATTGTGGACAAAGAGTTGTGGAGCAAACACGATGGACAAAGACCTATTGCTGGGAGAAGATGGGGGTCACTTCTATTAGGAGGTGATATTTTAGCTAAATCTTGGAGTGAAAATAGGAGTTTGTCAGGTGAAGAAGAGAAGAGCATTCAGAGGAAAGTGTAGTTCAGATTTAAGAAAGGACGGGGATTGGTGAACTGGTCTAGTATTGACGGAACACAGCGTATCAACGGGCAGATGTATCTGGAAATGCTGCAAAGAGCCCTGGATTCCAAACTAAGAAATATGCATTTTTCTCCTATAGGCAAAGGAAACTAAAAGAAGTTTCATGAACATCGTTTTTCTAAAAAAGAAAGATTATTCTGGCAGCTGTGTATTAAATGGACAGGAGAGGGCAGAGGTTTGGAAGCAGGGAAATGTGATTAGAAGAAAACACATTTACTGAGACCCTCCTATAAGCCAAACACCATGCTAAGCATTCTATGGCCATTGCAATCTAACTTAACCTACACAATAACCCTACATACAATAATATAGGTATTATCATCTTATTTTATAGAAATTGAGAGAGAAATCGGGGCTCTGAGAGGTTAGGTGACTTGCCCCAAATCACGCAGGTAGTAGGGATGAACCGGCGTTTCTAATATCAGAGCTGTATGACTCCCAAGTCACCATTTATTCTACTACCACAGAAGTCCATGAAATATAAATATTACGACCTGGGCCTCAGAAATGACAATGGGGATGGGGAGCAAGCCTCGAGTAATGCACTTATATGGCCATATACTTTGGTGGAATTGGCAATAGTAGACTATGATAACCGCAAGCATTCCAGCAGCCCTGCCATTCCACATCCCTTTGTGTAGAGGGCAGTGGAGTGGCTCCAGGCAGTTTGGGTGTCCAGAACCGGAGGCGTGAGGCCCCGCAGCGCGCCTCTTGGGAGGGGTCATCGTGGGGATGGCGGCTCCAGGGGAAGGGGCGGCTGCCAGAGGCGGGGCCGGGGTTCCTGGGGGATGCAGGGAGAGCCCACGAATGACGCGAATTTCCACACCTGGATGAGCCCGCTGAGGACGCCGAAGAGCCAGTGCTTGCTGTAGACCGTGCTCCCTATGCAGTCTGCCCCCGCAGCCACATCCTCCTCCTCCCCATCGTCTCGACTCCGCGGCGGCGGCGGCGAGGGATTGCGATCCATGACTCCGCCACGAACAGCGCGCCGCACCCGGGCCGGAAGCCGCGGAGGAGGCCAGAGGAGCGAGAGCCTCCTCGCGTTAGAGAGCCCGGCGCGGCTCCCGCCCCAGCGCCCCTGAGGACGCCGAAGAGCCAGTGCTTGCTGTAGACCGTGCTCCCTATGCAGTCTGCCCCCGCAGCCACATCCTCCTCCTCCCCATCGTCTCGACTCCGCGGCGGCGGCGGCGAGGGATTGCGATCCATGACTCCGCCACGAACAGCGCGCCGCACCCGGGCCGGAAGCCGCGGAGGAGGCCAGAGGAGCGAGAGCCTCCTCGCGCTAGAGAGCCCGGCGCGGCTCCCGCCACAGCGCCCCCTGCTGCCCGGAGCCCGGCAGGCCTCAGGCCCAGCCCAAATGGCTTGATTTCCCCCACCCAACCCTACCCAAAACCCCGGCACAATTATACTCCTGTTCACCCTCACTTGATCAGATATCCCCTTTCTCCAGCAGCTCTTAGCCTGATTGGAGAAAGAAAGGGAAGGGGGGATGGAGCGGGTAGAGAACAGGCCAGTGTCTCTGGTACAGATGTGAATCTTAAAACTATTGGACCTATTCCGCTCGCCTTCTGGCTCGAGAATCCTCTGATCTCTGGCCACCTTTGCCATTCTTAAAGACATCCAGGTACGGTTGGAATCCTGGGAAAGACAAAGTCACTTGTAAGAATGCCAATTTTCCAGCTCCCCGTAATTCCTGCTTCTAATTAGTTCAACGGTTCTCAACCTCAGACCCTACGCTCCCCGAACAAATATCTTACAATGCCCACTTCAATGTAATGAAATGAAATCTGTAGATGATATAACCTACTTCCACATGTAAGTTAAAAAATATAAATTGGATGCCTAACAAAAATGAAGAAGAAAAATTAATTAAAAAAATAATATGCATTGTAATATTTCAAATGTTCAGGCACAACTATACTAGAAGGCATAATGAAGATGTCTGATGTTTGCACATATACTTAGAATCACTGTGAACACAACAGTTACGAATACAGACTGATATAGGTGTGGTACCATGAAGGATGTGGCTTTTCAAAATCTTGAACAGATAATAAAATTTTGGGGTAAAATTTTTGCCAAAACAAAGTTCCAATATACACAGTAATACCATTTCTGGAAATTTTAAGGTCTGTAAAAACTGAGCAAAAAATAATCTGTGTTAACATATAAGATGCAATTGGGTCCTAGGCTCAAATAATTATGAACACATTTTATGGGCATAAGCAGACTCAGGTTTTGTGGGGACTGAATTATGCAATCTGAGGAGCACTCGTTAGGAAAAACAGTAAAAAATAACAAATATCAAATTAGATACAATAACATTTATTTATTTATTTATTTATTTTGGGGATGTGTGTTTGTGAGTGTGTGGCTGACTGGTACAAGAAATCTGAACGCTTGTCCTTCATGCTATATAACTAACTGAGCTAACCAGCCAGCCCCAAAAATATTTAGAATGGAAAAATATAACAACAAATTACAAATTTTAAATAGTTGACAAGTACTGCAACATCACAAACATCACAAAAGCCAGAAAATATCCAAATATTTTTAGTAATGACCAGCCCAACATACTTGTACAATTCTTTTTTAATATAATTTTTGCTAGGTTTTCCTAATCATTGTGCCAACCGAAAATGTCCCCAGAAGTAACCAAGAGCTCGAATAGAGATGGGAATGGGTGGAGTACTATCCCTTTTCAGAACTAGGGCATAACTAACACCCCAAAAACCACAATGCAGGGAGCCACCATGGCACAATGCCTCCATCACAGAGCTGTGGTGAGGACTACATGACATGCCTTGGGAAATGTAGTTGTTATGATTCTGTCACGTGTGTTCACTCTCCTCAGACTCCTCTTGGAACACGCACCAAATACCCCATAGACTGGCTGCTCAGCTTCCAATTTCTGTCATTACTGCTAATCAGCTCAGGGTCTGCACGTTTCCCAGCTCAGATACCTGAGAATGAGTATCTAGCCTACCTCAGAGGCTTGTTGTGATGATTAAATAAGATCATACAAGTAAAGTTCTGTGAGTTCATGAGAAAATGATTTGCCTTTTGTAGTGAACGATGAACGTTCTGTCTCTAATATTATCTCCTCTCCATGTGACCAGATTACATGAAGCCTGAAGTGGATGAACCTCTTGCTCATGGTTACCTCTAGGGGGAGTAAAAGCAAAGGATCGAGGTGACGGTCTTACAAGTATCTACATAAGGACAGGTAAAAATTGCCACCGAGCTCTATAAATAACAAACGTTACACGGAGGGTATCAGTGACCGACAGCACAAGAGTGTTACAATGTTGAATGCAGAACCTCCTGCAGAGGGAGACGTGGACTTGTCTTGCCCAGATCCCCTTGGAGGAGGGACTTGCTGCCCAGCTGCAGGGAAGCAGCTGCTCCCCACTGTCAGCTCTTCAGGGTTGGCTCAACTGCAGAAAGATTTTGCTCTTCCCAGGGCAACTCTGCTCTGATGACTGAGCAGTGGAGTCAAAGGAGATGGGGGTGGGGGTGGAGTGGGGAGTGTGGTACAAAGGCCTAGTCTGTTCAGCCTAATGTGGGACACTCTGGTGGGGACCACTCCCATCAAGGCTCCCGCCAGTTTGCCAGGGCCTTGCCAGGCCTGGAGGGCACCTCTACTGCGCTCTCTCCAGTCCTGCTCTTTCACCTGCTTTGTACAGGTATTGATCCCTAATAAACATCTTGTACCCCAAATTCTATGTAGCATCTGTTTCCAGAGAACCCAACTAGGACAGTAGGCACCTCTCATTCCCACCTCAGAGAAGGCATGTCTCATTCACCCCACTGAAGTATTTGAATCATCAGAGCGGCTGCAGTTCATTTTCAAGAGTATTTAGCCGAGTTGGAAATTGTGACTAGACCACCCAGAAGACATAGATCCTGGACATGTGCAGATAAATAACACAGACTTACACTGAAATTTTGGGTTGTGTCATTAATTGCTGAGCAATGTTTGTTTGGGTCCACTGGCTCTATGAAAATACAACCATACACTTGAAACTTCTGAAATAAAATTGAGCACTATCCTCAGTGGTAAGTCTTGGAGTAACATGGTGATGTGCCCTGATCAGACATGCCTTGCATAAAGAAGACTAAAAACCAAGAGTACTTAAATAATTGAGCAAAGAACAAGTATTGAGTGCCTAATATGTGCCAGGCACTATTCTAGGCAATGGGTTGTGGCAATGAAGACAAGAGAAAAATTCCACTTACATTCTGGTAGGGGAAGACAAGCAAACAGATAACTAAATATATACAATATGGCTGCTCCCTTAGTACATCAGTAGCCCCCAAAGAATCATGCCTCCTGATCCCTACGCCCTTGGGTGTGTTCTTCTCTCACTCACTCTGGCTGGGTCATGTAATTTCTTTTGGCCAATGGGACATCCACAATGTGACACAAGCAGATACTTGATAAGTGCTTGAGTGTACTGGGGTTTGCCCTCTTGGGGCACCACTGTGGGAGAAAGCCCAGTTTTGTCTCCTTAATGATGAAAGACCACATGGAGATAGAGACCTAGTAATCTCAGCTGTCCCAGATGGGCCCAACCCTCTAGCTGAATGCAGCAGCATAAATGAGGCCAGGTGAGACCAGCAAAAAACCTCCTAGCCAACTCTTAGAATTGTGAACTACAACAAAGCATTGTTGTGTTTAGTCACTAAGTTTAGGGATGGATTGTTACTACAGCAATAGATGACTAACTCAATATGTAAGAAGGTCATGGGTGCTGTAGAGAAAAAGAAAGCAAGAAAGGTGAGAGGGCTGCCATCTATCAATATTTATAACCCAGCATGCTCTTGGTACAGGGTGGGTACCTAGGTGAATGCAGCAGATCCCTAGGCCCATGCATCCTTGCATACGAGGTGACTTTATATATGATGGAAGTGGAATTGCAAAAAATGGCAACAATGATTAGTACTATTCAATGATTAGTACTAAGACACTAGTTAACCATATGGAAAAAATAAAAATAAAATTGAGTCTTCAACAAAAGTCAAATATGTGTGAATTGAAGAACTAAATATAAAAAGCAAAACTTGAATGCTTTTACATGAAACTATAGGCAACTCCTTTTATAACCTTAAAGATAGGATTTGTTTAAAATACTCAAACCAAAAGCTTTTATACAAAAAATCATTACATTTGCACTGTTGCTCACTATAAGTCAAGATAAACAGTTTTTAAAAAGCTTCAAGTTGGAAGAAGATATGTTCAATGTCTAACTGACATAGGTTTAGTATGCCTTTATACAAAAGATCATTACATTTGCACTGTTGCTCACTATAAGTCAAGATAAACAGTTCTTAAAAAGCTTCAAGTTGGAAGAAGATATGTTCAATGTCTAACTGACATAGGTTTAGTATGCCAAATAATAAAAAGTCCTATAAATCAGTAAGAAAGAGACAAACAACCCATTAGAAAAAGGAGCAAAATTTAGGAGCAGGCAATTCACAAAACGGGAAATAAACTGAAGGAAAAATATGAGGAGGTACTCAGCTCTCATTTATTAAAAATCAGAGAAATACAAATTAAGCTAATATGAATTACTATTTCACATCGACAAGGTTGGTAAAAAGTCTTTTAAGTCTGACAATTCCCAGCATAAACAGAATTGTAGAGAAATGGGAATGTTCATACACTGAAAGGGAACTTCACATTAGCACAGTTACTTTGCAGAACAATTTGTGAAGACCTAGTGTATTCCAACAGTGGCAGCCCATTAGTGAACTTTGAAATAAATTTAGTGAGTCATTGCCAGCATTTTAAAATCATACAGAATAGACTAGACCAGAACAAAAAACAGAAGAGGCCATGATGTCTACCAAATGTTAGCGTTGCTTCACGAAACTTTTGTTTTAGTTATACACAAACACAAAACCATAATCCTTGGTTATGACACACTCTCATATGTCATCATTATGCTGATACAATACTGATTTTTTTGAAATTAGAAAGCTGCTTTATTGTTGTCTGTTTTTGTTCCCAATGTCCCTTTTATTTTGATCCTGAATAAAAACACAAGTCAATTCATACCTTCTCCAGTTACTTTTTGATAAGTGATCAAAAGTGCTACAGTAATTTTAAGCCATAGGCTTGATGGCTTTCAGTTTATCTCAAAATGGTAACTAGATGGGAGGGGGAACAGGAGACAGGGAGAGGCTGGTAAATGGGTACAAAGTTGCCAGGTTACAGACAGACAGGAAGAATAAGTACTAGTGCTCTATGGTGACTTTAGCTAATAATGTTGCATTGTATTTCAAAACATCGGAAAAGAGGGTCTTGAATGTTATAACCGCAAAGAAATGATAAATGTTTAGGTGATAGGTATGCTAACTATTCTGACTGGATCATTTTACGATATATGCATGTATAGAAACAACAAACTGTATCCCATGAAAACATACAAATAAATAAATAAAAATGGTAAGAAAGAAATGATAAATGTTTAGGTGATAGGTATGCTAACTATTCTGACTGGATCATTTTACGATATATGAATGTATAGAAACAACAAACTGTATCCCATGAAAACATACAAATAAATAAATAAAAATGGTAACTGGAAAGTCCAGGTCCATGTAATGCGTGAAGCTTCTAATTCATTTAAAATGAAAATTTCTCTCCTTTTTTCCAGTGGGGCTCATTATTGAAGGACTCCTTTACTTTGGAGGGAGGTGGTGATGTTGTTTCCATCTCTCTGTTCCTCCCCACACAGATTGCCAGCTGCTCTTTCTGACTCCTCCTGGATTGGGAAGAAGGGCTGGAAGTGAGAGGGGTGGGGAAGGAAAATTCTTACTTGACTGGTATTTTCATAAAATGGTTGTATGGTCTCAGGGACTAGAGGCGTTTAAAGTTGATTTCGTGTGTGTGTGTTGTGGATTCTTCGCATGCACCCCTCTTCATCACTGGACATGTCCCTCTACAGTTCCCTTAACATGGTGACGCAATGTCCTCCAACTCGTTGCTCACTTCCTCCATGGCCCATTATTTCTCCCCCATCCCCACCATATGGACTCTCCATACGGACCATATGAGATTCATAGATTTGTTGTGAGGTGGTACATGGAATACATTCACTGAAGGAATGATTAAGCAAACTAATCTATGGAAAACAAAAAATACGTTTTATAAACTAAACTTCAGAACGATTGCTACTTAGAGCAAATGGTTAAGAATGCTGTCTCTAGCATCAAACTAGCAATGTGACTTGAATGTTATTTAAACTGTTTGTGCCTCTTCAAATTTCCTCGGCTCTAAATAAGGATAATTAAAACAAAATGATTCAATGGAATAAGATGAGAAAGCACTAGAACAGTGTGTGGCCCTAATCACCTTGTCACGATTGGTAGTGGTCACTATCACTGTCATTCTACTATTAACATGTGTTAGAGGAACTTGAAAGCCCCCCACAGGCAGACTGACACATTACCCACTGACTGACAAGGATGGCTGGTTTCTCAGAAGGCATGAACAAAGTGCTGTAGACTCATTCACTGTAACCCCGGGGTAAGGATTTAGGAGTGGACAGATCTCATGCAATGCGAAAGTGACATTCTATCATGGCCTGAACCAAGGAATGAGTAAAGAGAGAATGGAAATGGCTTTGAAAGGTATTTTTTAGTAACCATGGACAGTGACTGGTTAACACCTGTTCAGGAAGGATAGGATAGGGGAGAGAAAGGCTCCTGAGACTAGGCCTCCATGGCAGAAAAGAGACCTGAGGAACCCAGATTTTGGGGAAGCAAAGAAGGGGAAACGACAGAACTGACTGGAGAGAGACCTAGAAATAGTCCACTGTACCCAGAGATACCTGGGCCAGCAAGACCCAGTGGAGAGGGCCTAACTTTGGAGAGAAACTGTGTGGGGTGTCTGAGAACATCTCTCTCCAAGATTCCAAGATCCTCTGGGATTATACGAGAGGCATAACCTCAGGCTGTACTTTGACCCTGGAGATGGCCACTACTGGGGCTAATCTATGGTAACTCAGAGTACTTTTGCTTTTTAGTACGTTCCTTTCATTTTGTTGGTGTCAGTGTTTTCCTACCTTGTGGAAAAGGTGGGGAAGTATTTTCTCTTCTATTGTCTACTTCTCTTTACGAGAAGATTCAATCTTTAAGATAATTATAGGATAATCCATATTTTCATTTCTTCTTGAGTCAGTTTTTGTAAGTTGTATTTTTCTAAGAATTTGTTGATTTTTATCTAGTTTTAAACTTTGTTGCTAAAGTTGCATGTAGCATTCTCTTACTACCTCTTCCCTGTTATGGAACATATAATTATAGATTTATAGTAGGCCCGTGTTATGGTGCATATACTGTGGTCCATGTATGGACATATCGTTTTATCCTCAGTTCCTATTATTGTTTATCAGTTTCTTATCTTTTTTAAAAAATAAAAAAAATGACATTTATTGATCATCCCAATAGTACGAAACAAGCCTATGTCCCAAGGAATACTGAAGACTGTCATTTATTTCCAGATTCCAATGACAAATTGGATTTCACAAGCATTTATTAAGCGTTTTGATGCATTCTGTAGTAAATACTAGGGATATGGAATTCAGTAAATCTAGTTCAAATGCCCCAGCCCTTAGCGGCTCTCATCCTGGTCTCCTGAGAGCAGAGTGAAGAGGAAGCTCAGTACTTATCAGGCAGGCCGGCAGGTCTGAAGTGATTGGGGTCTTTGCCACTCCGGCCCCACTCATTGGCAGCCTGGTCAGCCTTCGAATCCTCAGCTCCATGGCCTGTGAGTCTCTGAATATTCTCTCTGGCATCGCTGTAATTGAGGCAGGTAGGAAGGAGATTAATCAGGCAGATGAGCAACAGTCCATCCTCCCAACTCTCCTCTTTCCAGGGGACAACGCTGAGAGGAGCTCGGGAGGACCAAGGAAGGAGGGGCTAAAACATTGACCCTGCCTGGGCACAGCCCTACTCAGCCCAGGCTGGTCTCCTTTATGCTGGATGAACAGCACCCAGAGAGGAGGGGTGAGAATCATTCACTCGCACCAGCCACTCAGACCCCACAGCAAGCAGAGAAGGAGCGTGGACAAAAGCAGGAGGGGCCACAGCCTCTACAGGAAACTGCTCTGCAAGGAAGCTTGCCACCTCCTGACTGCCCAAGGCAGTCAGGTTCTGATCACCCATCCCTGGCATCCCCAAGATTCTGCATTACCTGATCACTTTAGCAGCCCAGGCACCCCCAGGTCCCCTTCGGGCTGCATCATAGTTCCCTCGAGCATGAAAGTATTTGTCTGAATTTTTGTAATTGGCTTCTCTCATGTCAGAGTAGGCTCTCCACATGTCTTTAGTCCCTGGAAAGTAAAGGAAATGATGAAGATGATCATGTCTTGGCAAAATAAAAGGATAAAAAATTTCCTTCCACTGATTCCAAAGATTTTGGTCTTTGACAAAGCCCTTGAAAATTATATTGGCTTGAAATGAATATTCTTCTACTTTTCCCTTCCCTGGGTTAATGTAATAAGAATCACACACATGCAAGTTTCATTCTGTTTGATTCCATTCTGAGCTTGTTGCTACTTTGTTTTTGACTGTGTGTGATGCATGTAAGGTAGATGCGGATGATCTTAAGGGGTGTTTCTTTGCATCTCTACCTGGAAAGATGCAAGGAACCATCTGACTAAGGTGTGAGAACATGGGCATTCTGAAGGAGACTGCAGGCACACAAAGCTCCTAACCTAGACAATGGGAGAAATTGATTCCCGTTGTCAGAGGGTACAACTCAGTCCTGAGTATATACATCTGAGTGTCCAGGGTATGTTTAGAACCAGGGCAACTGTCAGAATCAATCAGCTGGTGATAAAGGTGAAGGAAGAGAACCTTACATAAACTAGGTAATCGGATATAAAAAACTGGCAATTAACCCACTAGTTCAAAACTTCAGTGACCTCCCCCATAAAAAGGAGGAGTATGCCTACTTCAGAGAGGTTGTGCAAAAGAACTGAGAAATACGTGTATGATGTCTAGAACATTGTAAGTGCTCAAGATATTATCACTTCACTTCTGTGGTCTTCAGGATGGTTCAGACAAAAAAAAAAAAAGAATAAGGACTAAACTAAAATGAGATCACAAGGTTATAGACTGAAGGAATCTGATCAAGCTAGAGTTAAAAGACAAAAGATTTTTTAAAAATAACTGATTAGGAAAAAGGGGGAATCTAATATGGAATTATAATCATGGTTTATATAATTTTTTCATTTTATATATTTATTATTTTTTGCTTTTCAGATAGATCACTTAATTGAGAGTTACAGCATTTTTTACTGTACTTATTCCATCTCAGGTAGTGATTTAAATGGATCCTTGGAGTTCAGACTGACTTAGTAAGTATTTCCACAATGCCTGGCACATTTTCTCTCTTGAGGAAAGCAAAACAAAAGGTAGTGGTTCTCAAGATTTACTATGCATAAAAATCAACTAGAGTGCTTCGTATTGGTCAGATTTCCAGACTCCAGCCCCAGAGACTGTGATTCAGTGGAGAAGAGGGTGATGAGGACCCAGGGGTCTGCCTTTCACAAAGCCCCCCATTCCCCAGGTGGTTCTCATGCAAGTGGTCCTAGAAGAACCCTTTGTAAGACACTGACCTAAGGAATGAAAGATATTTTTTGCTGGGTGTGTGAGAATTTAGATAGGATTAACAGCAAACCCTTAAAACAATTATTTAGAGACCACTACAGAAAAATAGTAACACCTGAAATTTAAAATATTACATTCTGTAAAAAAAATTTTTTTTTGCTACTTTATTATGGCTAGTGGAGCATATTTTCTTTGCTATCAGTTTCTTGGCCATGTCTGAGCCCCAGTAGAGCCATCATCCAGGTAATTCATTGTTACTTTTATTGTGCAGAGAAGACCTAGTGTTGCCTTCCAAAAGCACCACATCCTCACCATTTGCCGTTTCTCAGATAAAGAACAGGATACAAGTTCACAAATCCCTCACTCTTATTTCAGAAGCAGTAGAGCACCATGGTTCAGAGCAAGGTCTGAGGAGTGAAGCTACCTAGGTTGAATCCTGCTCCGTTTTGGGATTAGGCATTATTGTCTCTTTGTGGCTCAATTTCTCTGTTAAGACATAATAATGTTGCCTACATTGAAAGATTAAAGATGAAAGTAATTCATTTGTACATGCAAAGCTCTTAGAACAGTGTCTACCACATATTAAAAGTTCAGTTAACCTTGGTTGTTTTTACTTTGTGGATGGGGACCAGGCTGGCTCTGTTCATTCTCCCTGCAAATACTCTCCACACATGGATGCACCTGCTTCATGGCTACTGGAGACCTAGAAGTGAGCTGTTCCTGGCTTTCTAATGGAGACAGTAGAGCCCCACTAGTTCTAAGGGTAGAAGCACCCCTGAATTCCAGGTCTCTATCACACTAGTGCTGAAATGTTGCAGCCCAAGCCCTATGTGGCACCAGGCCTGGGGATCCGCATAGAAAAGGACCAAAGCTGACCAGAAAAGTAAGGGGAACTTCTTTTATGAAAATCCTACTCCTATCCATTAGTGGCTTCACTGGCACCTCTGCCTACTGGGCACGTGGCCTCTGCTCAGGTGAGTCCTGGGGTGTCTGATACAGCCTCCTGTCCCCATCTTTTGCTTCTTACCTTGACCAGCTTCCTTGAGGAATGTCGACCATCTCTGGCTGCTGACGCCCAGGACCAGGAAGCAGAAAATGATGCCAATGGAAAGCTTCATCTTGCTGCAGAGACAGGGAAACAAAACAAGGATGACACATGTTTGTTTGCAGGTTTTGTTTTTTGTAACATCATCCTCCTCTCCACTGAATCACAATATCTAAGGCTGGAGCCATCCTTGTGCTCCAAGGAGTCCCCTCTCAATTTTGTGTGCGTGTGTATAAATATATGTCTACACACACACACACACACACATATACATACACACACATCTACGTGTATAGTGTGTATAGATATGCGTGTATAAACAGATGATAGATAGATAGACAGACAGACAGACAGACAGATGACAGATAACCAGAGGATCTAGTTCTCCATCTCCATTCATCTCTTTGGAATCCCAGTGTCTGAGAGATTGCTATGGACCTTAAATAAAACCTGTTTTCCATTTCAATCATCCCATATCGCCCTTAAAACCCAACTATACAGGAAGTATCCAAAGAAGTGTTTAGGGGTTTGCAGACCAACATACCTGTCTGTAATATGAGATGGGTTAAACAATCAAAAATATTTGTAGAACGCCTGCTGTCCCCAACACTGACTTCCCACAGACAAAGCACACCACAAAATCCTCATACTAAAAAGTATTCTCATCTGGTGAAAGCTAATGATCAGGATAGTAGATTCAGGGAGGGTCCAGAGAGAGCAGAGGTGCCGCACAAGACTGCTTCTAGGGAAAGAGAATCTCCAAAGAATAAAACTGTTGGAAAGTTCTAGCACCTCACCTTTGGCCGTTCCTGCTGAAGTCCCAGGTGAAGCTAAGCCGCCTGTGCCACCTGCTGAGATGTGGCTGGTGCTATATATACTGACAGGTCGCTAATGGAACCAATGGGAAGGGAGAGGTTTGAAGCAAAACAACAGGATTTGGGAAATCCCTCATGGCCAGAAAACAGCATCCAAAACACCAGGATTTTTCTTCACAGAAATCTGACTTTCCCAGATTGGGCAATCTGGCAACTGCCAGGAGGGTGGCAAATTAGGGTTTTCTGCCTGTTTACAGTCCCACTCCTGGTGAGGAAAGTTACCACCCCCCCACAATAATGTACTAACAATTTTTCTTCCTGAGACGTGATTTCCCCAGATTGTGCAATCTGGCAACTTTCAGGAGTGTAGCAAGTTAAGATTTTCTTCCTGTTTCCAGTCTTACTCTTGGTGGGGAGAGTATTTTTCCTCTCACACAAGAATGTTGTGACTATTTACTGTGAAGCGCAGTCAATAATAGAAAAAAGAGATTTGATTGTCTAAAGAATGAGAGAATACAGGGCAGATGGAACATCTGAGCCAGCTCCATTGCAAAGGACAGTTCAGGGTGAAGCTGGGACCCTAGGGTGCAGAAGTAGAAACGGAAGGAGATAGACAACCTGGGAAAATAAAGCTTTCAGCACCCATGTGGGTGGACTCAGCACTAGAAAAGGGAGTCCTCTAGACTCAAATGTATTCATGATCAGTTGTTATTGAAGGCCATATGGCAGGTTATATTTGGAGGAGGTCATCATCCAGGACTGTTGAACTGTAGTATAGAAATTTGCTACAATATCATGTGGAAGTTACACATGAGCAGGAAATGGCCTACTGGCAGGTAAATTCTCAGAATAGTAGATTCAGGAAGAAAGCAGAGAGATCTGGGAGGCAGCACAAGAGGGTGTGATGTTAGAGAACAGCTGTTTTAACCAGAAAAGCAAGACTGTGCTTACAATGTCAGTTTAGGAAGATTGTCTTGGGAAGAAACTTCATGCAGCTGTCATCAGGGGGCTGGAGTCCATGGTCCAGTCACCTACCCCATCCCTATCTCTTCATCCAACATAAAAATTTTAAAGACCACTGGATTTCCCTAGAGAAGAAAGGATGATGCAGGTGTAACATGGCAGAGATGATGAGGAAATCCAGAGGACATCAGAACTGGTTCTTGTTACTATGGGATCCTGGGGTAGAGCCCGAGGAAAACAGTAGGGCAAGTAAGTCCCTGCCCAGGCAGTCATAGCTCAGGATTCTCGCCTGGAGTATTTACTGGGAGAAGAGAAATGTGAGCAGTGCATTCGATACACTGGGGAAGTAATCTCCAAGACTGATGCGAGCAAATCATGGAGACTTGATAGCAGAGATGTTGGGAGATGGTATCTAGTGGCCAGGAAGGAGGTGGGACTTGTGCTCAACTAGGAATCCAGAGAAGAATGGGGATGAAGGACTTCCAATTTTCTTACAAGACTGGAGGAATTATGAGTAGAATATTAGAAAGAGAGTTGGTACCCGGGGTGAAGCAAATCAGGCAATGATTATACCATGTTTGGGAATCACTGTCTTAGATTTGACCTGCCAAATTTAGGAGTGATATGCCTCCTTCTGGGTCTGAGTGTTATTTTAATTCTTTCAGGCACAATGAGGTAAAGATTATAATGCAGACAGTTGTCAGAGGATTTCCTTGTTGCCTTGGTTGTCATTGAAGGCTATGGTAAGCAACATTTGGGTAGTCCTTACACAACTTCCATTCCTTGGGAAAGGTGGGATTCCCTGAGGTCCGAGTAGTCTCTGAGCTGGGTTTGGTTTCTTGGTCATAGGAGTAGACAGGAGGTTGGGTGTGGAGAAGAGCAGAGTTGTCAACGATCCACAGCCACTGGTCATGGCTCGTGTGGGGGAACTGCTCCATAGAGGAGGGTATGTGATGTCCAGACCTCTTTTCTCCTACTTTCCTTGGGACAGAAATTGTGGGCCAGTGATCACATCCTTTTGCATTATTTTACTACCTTTGTGATCATTCAGTGCCAGAAATCCACTCCCCACTTTCTCATCTCATTCAAGTCATTCTCTTGTGTGGCAGAAAGATCAGTGAGTAAGCAGGTGCAATTTCTAGACACCAGGAAGAACTCGTCATAGGGACGTTTGCACGCATTGCTTGTTTTCTTCCTTTGTTACCTAATGTATTCTGCCTTCTGGGAAGGGACACACTGTTCCTTGCAGGGCTAAGCTTAGAACAACAGACTATAGTGGCAGTCAGCTGTTTTCAATTGTTTCTCCTGAAAAAGAAAAATAACCTGTTGTGGTAAAAAAAGGATTTCCTAAGAGTCTCTTGTATTTGGCTATATGTCCTTGTTTGCAAGAACTAGTCTCTCTTAGCCCCTATTGTCTCAGCTTAATTATTAATAGTGGCACCTCCTTTAATTCTCAAAAATGACCTGGCATGAATTATAAGCTAGATGGTAACTCTACTGTAATAGTCATGTGTGACAGGCTGCTTGGAGGCCTCAGACACCTCCATTTCTTTCTGCTACAATTAATTTGATTGTAAGAGGAGAATGCCAAGGCTTGATTCTATTAAGAATTAGAAAAACAAAAATGAAAAAAGTAAAAAATTTCACAGATATCATGACTAAGAATGGCATCTCAGACTTAAGCCACTGTCTTAGAGGACCAGCAGAAAGAAGGATGGGCAGTTTCCTAAACATAAAATGAAAAAAAATAATGATGCCTACCTTGTATGATTTTCATGAGGATTAAATGATTAATGCTGACAGAGGCTTGGATTAGTTCTGGGCACATGTAAAGCACTTAATACATTTTAGCTCTTCCAGCTTAACCAAGAAAATGCATAATCATGTATACATTCCAGTAGACAGAAAGATTAATTAAAATATTATTACCAAGGCAACTCATTATTAACACATTAAATAAACATTTACTTTCTTAGTTTATTTAGAGTTGCTATAACAGAATACCTGAGACTGGGTATTTTATAAAGAATAGAGGTTTATTTGGCTCACTATTCTGGTAGCTGGAAAGTCCAAGTTTGTGTGGCTGGATCTGGCTTCCTTGTTATGCTCAGATTGACTGAGCCCCTTTTGACTGGTTGCTTGAAATCTCCTGGGTTTTTTTATGTGTCTTGTTTTAACTGTTCTTTTTTTAAGTTCATTTTGATTACATGGAAAGAGTGACTCCACTGTGGTTTGGTTTGGTCTGTTGGGGACTAGTGTAGGAGCTCAGCCCCAAACAATGACCTTCCTTAATTTTATATAACAAATAAATGAGGAGCTGCTGAAAATTCATAACTTCAGCATCAGAAAGGCTGCAATCCCATTCCCCATTCTTCAATTCACAGGGGGAGATTAAAAGAAAATATCACATTCAAACAACTGAAGAAATTATTAAATTCATGGGTAAGTTGTTGATTATATACCTGCATTTTCTTCCTGATCAAACAAACATGAGGAAAAAATGTATACATAGGAAATAAAATATATTTTATTAAAATTTTAATTTTAATTTATAAATTATAATTTTATATACTTATCAGTACAATTGATGTTTTTGTATATGTATATATTGTGGAATGATTACATCAAGCTAAGTAACATATCCATCACCTCCCATACATTTTTCTTGTAGTGACAACATTTAAAATCTCATCTTGTAGCAATTTTGAATTATACAGTACAGTTTTTAAAAAGAAGGACATTTCATCATGTGACAACATGGATGAAATTGGAGGACATTAAGCTAAGCAAAATAAGCCAGGCATGGAAAGACAAATACATCATGATTACACTTATATGTGGAATCTAAAAAAGTCAAACTTATATGGAATGTACTTCAAAAAGTTCAAGGAAGAATTTATATTATCTTTTTTTTTCCTTTTTGTCTTTTTTCGTGACCGGTAACAGGATTGCAATCCTCGGTGTTGCGCCCTTACCACGCTCAACCAGTGAGCGGACCGGTCTCTATATGGGATCCGAACCCTTGGCGGGAGCGCCGCCACACTCCCAAGCACTGCACTCTACCGAGTGCGCCACCGGGCCGGCCCATATTATCTTTTAATTCCATTTTTCCATGATCTTTTTGAAGTACCCCGGTAGAAGTAAAGAAAATGGTGGTTATCAGAGTGTGGGTGAAGTTGGGGGAGTGGGGTGCAGAGATGTTGACCAAAGGGTACAAACTTTCAGTAAGACAGGAAGAATAAGTTTTCATGATTTATTGCACAGCATAGTGACCGTATTTAATAATTACGTATTGTGTATTTCAAAGAAAACTCAGTTACACAGGTGCTCTGAGCTTCCTGAGAAGAAGACCTTTGCCTATGTTTGTCCTGCAGAGGGCAGCAAGCTTCTTAATACTTAGGTAAGGCGACCTGGTGAGCAGTGGGTGGCTTCTGCTCTGGATAGTTCCTCGCTCTCATCCTGGCTTAGGATTGTGAGAAAATGCTCTCCACTGGAGAGCATAATTCTAACTCGACTAGCTATCAAACTTAAAAGCAATTATTTAAGAGAATAAATCCACAATGTTTCTCCTCTGAGCCAACTGCTGATGGCTCACAGATCAGACTACACCTGCATTTCATGTATATACTCAATAATATCTGGCAAAGGCCACTAGCCAGCAATCAAAAACAATAACTACAATAAGAACATAAAATGAAACAAAAGTCATAATTTTATTCAACCTTTCAATGACTATAGCACTTCTCAGAGTAAAACTTTAACAACGTATTTCTGAGCAGGTTAGAAACAATTCACAGAGGCAGACAGACTCTCAACAGAGACCACAGAGAGCCTAATCTGAGTTCCCCTTTCCTGGTTCAAATTTGGGCTTAGTATGGAGTCACTGTCCAGATCTCAATTTAATCAGCTCACAGTGACACACCATTTGTTAATTTAGATGAAATAACACCCTCAAAGCTATTTATTTAAATAAGACTAGTTTTTGATTCAAGGAGACACAGACATCTTTAAGATGCGAAATAAGTATTCGATAAGTTGAAGTGATATCAAAGATCTCTCCTCTCCTATATCCCCTACTGAGGCCAAATGGTTTTTCAGGAGGAGAGTTGTAG